AACTTTTATAGTAATATTTGAAAAATGTATAAAACATATGTATTTATTATATAAATATTAATAAAAATAAAAGTATTTTTAATAATATTAGACAACTTTTTTATATTAATCTAAATGCAAATTGTGTTGAAAGAGTTTCTGAACATTGTGTTAACTAATTTTATTAACATTATTTAGATTGCATTATTTTAGATTGTGAAACGGTATATTTTTCTATCTTATATAATGCAAACTTTAATAATGTTAATAACATTAGTTAACACATCGCTCAGGAACTTTCTAGTATAACCGGACAGAAGAATTCGTAGGACAGAATTTATTTCTGACTGATTCTTTTTTTTCATGCAAAAACGCATTGAATGAGATTAATTTCATCAAAATTGGGGTGAGGTATCTCTTCTAAATAATTATTCTTTTTTGTGCTAGGTTTTTTGTTTTGTCTAAAAACATCTTGAACGAGACTAATGTCATTAAAATCGGAGATAATAAGGCACCTCTTCTAGATGAATACCCTAAAATCTGTTTTAAGTTTGGATGAGTCTGTCATGACAGCATCAAGGTACATGATACATGATATATTAAAATACACACACACACACACACAATTTGTTAAATCTAACTACTTGGCTTAAAGCTATTCAATTTGGAAGTCAGTTAAATTTTGTATACTTCAACCGCAAATCAAGATTGTCGTTTAGGTTATTTATTATTTTTGCTTGTTAACTCTAGATATTTATTGTATATATTTTATTGTTTAAAAATAACTTATTATTAAAAAGGATATTTGAATACATAAACTTAAAATTTTTCCAAATATTAAAATGTTAATTGTTTTTCAGAGTATATAATTTTAATATTAATATATCAACGTATATTGTTCTTTAAATAGACTGCAATGTTTTTTATTCTTTCTGATATATTTTGAAATTTTATGATTATAGGTAAAAGAGGACTAAATGCATTAATGATGGCAAGTGCAACAGAGAATAGATCCGGAGTAGAATTACTACCATGCAGCTTCAGATTTTATAATTTTGTTGCCAAAGTCAGTGACTACTAATATTAATTGCAGTTAATAAGAATGAAAGATTCTTTATATCTGTGGATTGGAGATTCCATTAATGGTAGCATGAAAGACTTGTCTTTTGCTCTCACATCAAGTTTTGAGAGACAGCCTATTGCAACCAAAATTATAAGACTTGTTCGCGTTGCTTGAAATCTTCAAAATCTTTGCACTTAATACGAGATAAATATACATATAATTGTGTGTTGAAGAAAAAGGAAGCGAGAATGCTGAGTGCAAAATGTGCAAACAACGCGAACGAACTTAGCGGTTTTATAGCAGATGCTACATCTACAAATATGGCTAATTGTAAGAGATTAAGCATGAAGTTTGGAAAAGCAGTATATTTTAGTTTTAATCTAATTCCAAACAATATAATTTTACCTGGAATTGAAAGAAGATTTCAGGAAGAGTTTAAGACACATACAGATCTCTATTAAGTTTTCAACTTTAATTATTGATTATGTATAAATGATAGCAAATGTAACAAAAAAAGATCTGGAGTAGAGTTGCTATACAGCTTCAAGTTTCATAATTTTGTTGCCAAAGTCAGTGATACTATAATTTTAATTGCTAAGTAATAAAGATGAAAAAGATTCTTTGTATCTGTGGATTGGAGATTCCGTTAATGGCATCATAAGAGACATTTTTATGTATCAAGGTAATCAAAATTGATGTTTAATATTCGTCAATTTTAATTATGTAATCGTTTTTATTGCTGAAATGATTGGTTGTTGTAGTTTATAAAATTGTATCTTATACATACTTTTAATTTAAATATATGAGCAGGGTTTTATATTGCACGTACACACATTTAAATATAATGCATTCTTTTCTTTTTTTTTAACGTGGATAAAATTTATGTTCATATATTGTATGCGTATAAAGTAATTATAATGTTATTTTACATACTTTACTACCTATTTACAACAATGTTTCGGTTTTTTAACCACCGTTCTTTTAGAAAAGTTCTTAATAAAATTTTGATATAATTGTTTAGATTAATTTGTTTGAGTACTTTGGCCTTCAAAAACGTTTGTAAAATAATCGATTTTAATAAGAATTCTAAGATATACATATTTGTTGTTAAAAGATTAATCAAATTAAATATGTAAAGTAAAATTAGCATAAAGATTTTTTTATGTCTATGATTTTTTGGTTCAAATTTTCCCTATGTCCATGATTATCAGTCCATTAGACAGACAAAGACAAACAATCGATTGATTGTTTGTCGATCGACATAGGGAAGATTCGAACCAAAAATCATGGACATTGGCTACATAGTTCAATGTCCACGTTTTGTGGACATAGACGCTTCAAAATAAAGTGACAGCTAAATCTCGGGCATGGCTGCTCTCAGACCTCTGGTTGAAACAAATCAAAATTTCTACATTTGAGGTTAGGATCATGTGCGAGCACGGCATGATTGGCATGAAGTTTGCGCTGTGTTGTTGATTTCCGGCTCTTTTCGCCAATATTACATTCTTACATCGTGAATATGCTCACTTTTGTTATTTTCACTTTTATAATTCTAATAATTCAAAGATAAATAGTCGGTCTCCTAATTATCGATAATCGATCGGTGCTCTACTATTATCCATTGAGTCATCATCCATTGACGGGCTTGTCTGCATTGTGAAGTGTGAACGTGAATGTTCGTTTTTTATGGCGTCTCTTCGGTGTCGCTTCGGATTGTGATTGTAAGTTGTGATACTTGTGATTTTCGAAAAAATTTGGTTTTTAAACATACACCTAACACGTATTAGCAACATTAGAGACTTGGAATCACCTGGACAATTTCGTAAACACAATTGTGTGTAAACATATGTAAAATGGGCGAGTATACGAATGTATACACCTTCCACGATAAAACCCTCGCCGAGAGATTGGAGGAGTATACCAACATACTATCCGCGCAAGGAAGAATAGTACCCGCTTCAAGCATTCGGACGGAATGGGTCTGCGACGTGGAGCTCGTTATCGAGCCGGTCGGTTGGCAGGCATTATGGAAGATATCGCGTACAACGTGTGAGGACTATAGTATCCGTTATCCAACGATCGTCATGGTAGAAGTGCTAGGGATGGACTTCCCAGTGTTGAACGCCTTGGTGAAGATCACGGCTGTTCAGGATGACATACATTTGCCTGAGAAGCATGAAGTATCGCTGGTGGAATTGTATCCTACCATTGAACAGAAAAACCATAGCTTGGATATAATAGGTACAGCACATTGCGTGGATCGATTACGGTTTTTCTACAATCACCTGTGGATGCCGTGGGATGAGGACGAGGATGACAATATTGATTGGGTGGAGCAGCATCTGGAACGTAGGATCAGATTATACTTTGACATGAATAATGGAATTATCAATAAGGAAACGTGTGACATTATTAAATCATTAATCAGTGAAGGAAAGGAGATACAGAAAAAGATTTCAACATATGAAGCTTTGTTACCTGAAGATTTCCAGGAAGATGATGTGCCTGAAGAGTTAGCACAAGAAACATGTACCTTGATGAAGCTTCACTTTCGACTTCAGCAGATTAAAGCAGAGATGGATTTATTGGAGAATCCTTCATTGAGAGGATTGCTTGGGAAGAATCAATCTTATAACAGAAGAAAAAGGCACAGCGATAATGAAAATAAGACAAGCTCGTATTATTTTGTATGGCAGGGTGGCGTTGTCAAAGAACTCCAGGAATTTTCTAATAAAATTCAAACGATGTTGCCTAAGGATGCACCTATTAAGTACATATCGATTTTATTGAGCAAAAAGGTTGTAGGAAAAGTGAAAAAATCATTATAATTTTTATATTGTTTATATTTTAGAATATGTGGATATCTGGATGATGTTATGGATACATTCGAGACAGGTGATACTATTTTACTAGGTGAAGGAAACTATTCAATTAAGGGTTCCACTGGATTACAAGAAGGAGGTACAATTATAGGAATTTCTAATACAGAGGACACTATAATTTCTCCACATGACCCAAATATGTCGTCATCTTTGTTTGATTTATGCGGCAATGAGGTATTGTATGTTTCAACTCAGTAATATATTTCTTGTTAATGTTTCTGATGTTTCTGATGTTAATTTATTTATAAAACCCAATAGATATTGCTGAAGAATGTCTGCATCGACTTGGGAACACTTCAGGCAGGCATAATTATCAGAAAGGACTGTACTGTACTTGTAACTGGTTCTAAAATACGTCTCTCTAATATCACTGCAAATAGTAGTGCTAAATGGGGTGCAGTTGTTATGCCAGGAGCGAAATTAGTACTTGAAAATACAATTTTCCAAGGATTAGGCACAGCGATCATTATTTATGGAACTGGTGAAGTTGTTATGAATAATTGTCAATTTGAAAATTGCTGCGAGGGTGTACGGGTAAGGTTACTTTGCAATAGTCTTGATTGCAATATGACTCTTTGGAATAAATGTGTATAACTTTTTTAGCTGAATGACAATGCACGTTTTACCGCAACCAAGTGCTCATTTGAAAATATTGAGACTGGACAGGCTGTAGTGATAGAAACTGAAAAAGTAAATCGTTCAGAAATTGTAGAGGTGGAAAACGAATTGAGCAATGTGTCTCTTAAAAATGTCTCTTTAAATGAATGTAAATTTTTCAATAATCATAAAGGGAGTATTACATTAAGACCAAAAGATACTGCTGCTCTTGTACATAGACAAATTAATACTACAGAAGAATCAGCATGTAAAGAAGCTATGGAGTTATGAGTTTCGCAATATTTCTGTGTGTCGCATTATTATAAATTTTTCTTAAAATCATCATTACTCTTTTGATACAAAGTGCAAACGTATTGGTATATTTATAAAAACGAATTTTATATATAAGCTTTCGAATATTTTTTTACGAAAATATATCTCTATATATATATATAGTAACCTAGTTACGAATAATTTTCCGTCTCGCCTTCAAGTTCCATGAAAATTTTTTATTATTAAAAAATGATATATATTTATATAATTATTTTTTAAATTAATGTGTATATAGAATGTAAAACTTTATACATGTACATATAATTTTTTATATATTTTATTTATGTTATTGGTGCTTTTCAGCAAGAGATATTGTTTCAGCAGGAATAAGGCATAGAAACAGGGAATATCAAACAATATCAAGCAATAGATTTCTATCAGAAACCATGCATCAATACAGAATAATTTCTAATACGTTGAAATCTATTGTCTGTGTGTTTTATTCCTTATTCGTTTTATTGTGTCCGAGCTCTAACATGTAGTCATTTAATTTTTGTTTAATATTATTAAACAATAAGGGCGTAATTATTTCATAGCAGAAAATAGGGATTCAATATTCATGCCTTTTTTATTTTTATGTAGATATAGGAAAAATTTAAAATTAAAAAAAAAAAAGAAAACAGGATTGAAATAACGATTTTTTTTCTTAGAATATATCCTATACACGATAATGTGTACAAAAATTTACAAAATTATATACAGGAAAATTGGAGAGGGGCATTACGAAACATTTATTATCAATTGGTATTCTTTTCCGAGTGATAAGGTATCGACAGATCGAACTATCCTTACATACATTGTAACTTACTTCTCACAACAGATGTCGCTACTATGAAAGATTAGTCGGTTCAGTGCTCCGGCTCCGGTCGCTCCGGAACGTTTCGCGTATTGAAATACATATCGGGAATCGGGTTATGTACTGGACAGTTCTAAGATAGCAAATTTCGATAAAGGTGATATCAACTCGTCACGTCCATCACGAACTTACCGCGTTAACTCGCTCGCACCTGATTACTCCGAGGCGGAATTCATGGTGATTCGCGCGTATATCCATATCATAACCTCGTCCACACAGATCATCGAATCGGATGCTTTGCTCTCACGTTGATAAACGTGAGTATTTTTTGTCTCGCATTACTGGTAAAATTGTCTCTGGAATCTCCCTCGGTCTGCATCGGATCATACTGGACGTTTACCGAGCCCCACGAACTTCACGGTCGCAGCGAGGAGAAACCTGGAAGACGTTCGAACTCGCTCGCGTGGCATCACATGGCATATGGATATTGTGGATTCGCGTCGCAATTCGCATGCGTGTTGCGCGTCTTTCGGGAAAAAGGGAAAAGGGCCGCCGCGCCGGCCGGTCCTTTACGAATCGTAATCCACGTGTGCCGCCGGCTTGTTTTCTCAACGTACCAACTCACGAGAAAGTCAAAATGACTTTATTTTGACGTCATGAAAATCAAAATGATGATTTTGGACTACAAAATTTGACTGTTTATTGACGTTAAGAATCGAAGTAAAGTCGTTTTGATTTTTGTTGACTTTTATACGTTCCTCGCGAACCGATCCACATTCACAAGTGTCGCCGGAAGGTACGCCGTTTCCTCTTTTCTTCACCTCTCACCGCGTGCATTGGCCATGTGCTCGCGCGCGCGTTGTTGACACGTGCACTCGGCACGTATGAATGAAACGTCATTCGCGCCAACGCGCCCGAGCGCATCGATCGCACACGCCGATTCTCCGTGTCTCGCTTCGTCTCTCGCTGCTAATGATTAATCGCGTTTTCCGTCGTCGAGCGAGATAAAACCGCGCCGCCGTCACGCTTTGATATTGAGGCGGGGTGATTAATCGCGGCCGGCGAGGAGGCGACGAGGTATAGAAGGGAGGAGGAAGGGGAGCGAGCTGTCGTTGGCAGTGCGCTAAACGCGGACTGCGTACTCGTGATGTATCGCACGGACGCGATGCATATTCATGGCTTAAGGCAGGCGACACACGTAATAAAAACGACGAGTGTTCGAGTTTTGCGCGACGGTAGAAATTAAATGTCATTCTCGCGTTCATCACTACGCATTGGATTGCGAATTGAAGATTAGAATTTGACCAATCAAAGACAATTTTAATATTAATCCGTTTTAATTGGCTGAAATGTAATTCTCGTATCCTCAGGCTAGCATCCTATATGTACAATCCTATATGAACGGAAATTTACAGCGAAACGGAACAGCGCGACCAATCACGACTCTGTATAGTCATTACTTTGCTTTCTTTTTTACGATTAGTCTCGTCGTTCCGTTCCGCTGTCCGTTGATTTCCGTTGATTTCCGCTCATGGGACACCAGCCTCACTCTCCAATGCGTAGCGTTACACGAGCATTATTGTAGTGACAATAGCTGTGTTCAGCAGACTCAACAGATGAGTGAGCGCTCGTTATTATTGATGTATTCTTCTAGATTTAAAATCTGATTGGATGATTTAAAAGAATACACCACATTATCATTGCGCGGCTTTTCTATTATACATAATAAATGTATTTTTGCGCAATTATAGTATAATATAAAGATGCCAATACTGACGTTAATGCTCGTTTTCATAATACCTATAATTGCCTGGGATTCTGTAATTCTTAGGCTCGTTCTCACAACATGATTACCTAAAGACTAAAGGTTATCAAGAGACATTCATCAATAAAATTCATTCATGAATTTCTTTAATCTTTTGTAGGTAATCATGTGAAACCGAGTCTAAGAGTTACCGAATTCCAGTGCTGGAACTGTATATATTAGAGGCTCTATAACAGAGTCTGTGTGGCCACGAATAATTTTATCAAAAGAAGAGTAAAAAGGAAGAAAGGGTATATGGCGATTGCATCGTCACAGAGAAGTAAATACGCGAAAATTAGTCGTCGTGAGAATAACACACAGACAATACATACACTTGACAAGCAGATACGTTTATTTACGAAGACAATAGCCTTTTAAACTTGTATAGTTTTTATGACGATTTTTCATCCTTTTCTTTATATTGGCTATGGATATGAAGGTAAAGGCTAGACCAGTGAGAATAGGAATTGTATTTATAAACTGTATTTTATAAAATCTGCATTATAATTATACAAGAAGATCATTATTAGCAAGTGTTGTAATATAATTTATTATTTTAAATATAACGACGACGACCGATAAACATACACGCGAGAAAGACGCGAACAAAGAAGCGAGCGTGAGATCAAGCATACATAGAGTCGATCAGCTGACGCCGAGAGACACAGTCACGATTCGGTTAATAGGAATTCTCCGGTTGACTCCGAGAACCAATAAAACATTACGTAGAGTTTGATTTTTATCGATACCGATTACATGACATTCTTTCAAAGCGAGTGAATCCAATCGGGTACAATTATTTGTCGCGCGCTTGTGAATAATAAATTAACTGTTAATATCACTAAGCTATAATCTGTTTTTATCTTTTTCTTTTCGGTGACCCGAATGGTATTTAAGAATTCGCTGCTCACGTACACTTTTTCCTTCAACTTTTTTTTATATATGGTGACCAATCTATTTTTGACGGAGTCGAAAGATTAAAGGATATATATTATTCTTTTTATATACACTATATCTTATTCAAATTTATACTCTTCTATTCTTTTTAACTATAACTAAAGTTTATAAAAACGATGGGTTAATAAAAAGTTTATCAGTGGCCAGATCTATTATAGGATCTCTAGTATGTACTTAATTTTAATGAATAATTGTCTGAGTAGTACTGATGTAATATTTATTTACACAGAACATAAATATTTGTTAAATAAAAAAAGAAATATATGATACTTAAATTTAATTCGTGGTTTTTGTACAAAATGAAAGTTTTATCCAAATAAATATAATAAATAACATTTGTTTAATAAATAAATTGTTTATAATAAACATTTAACTGGCACTATTTGAATAAATATTTATTAAAATTAATATATTGTTTTCTCAATATATTTATTATAGAAAGTTTAAATGTATTGACTTTATAATGTCAGTCGTCGGTCACTTTGCAAATTATTCATTCATCTTTGCGCTTCTATATGTTTGATTTAGATTCGGTTTTATATCGGTTAATGTATCGACATCGTAATGTCAGTTGTCGGTCACTCAAAGAATAATGTATGATCTTGAAATATCGAAGATGCTAAAAATATTTAATTTTCTGTGTTGTTTTGTAGTTTTCTGTGGTTACGCGTCCAAATTGCTGTGCCGACAGATAGAAACGATTATAAAGCTAAGTGTAACTACACAGCGACATCATCGTTGAGAGACACGTCTCACGACATGGTGGAGATGACTGCATTGACGCAGTCCGTCGATGGACAAACGCAATTCGGCAACACGCGTCACCTCGAGCCATCGGACTGCATTTTCGTCTTCAAGAATACATTCTCGGATTATGAGGAACCGCCTTCTGACGAAGAGGTGAGTGCAACATTCAATCACCGCGACCAGTTTTCATATAGAGCTTTTACACAGCAGTTTGACAAGAGATTGCAAGATAATTCGCAAAAACCGACTACATATTTTTTTAATATTACCAGAATATCGTAATCACATGCTATGCTGGCTTAAACAGTATCTCCGTAAAAACAAAGTTGCGATTCATTTCTTTTTAAGTTGCTACGTTGCGGAGAATAACGTGTAATTTATTACACATGTGTAATTTACTTACTACGGTAACATATAATTTATTATGGTGACATGTAATTCTCAAGCGAATCGAAACTTCTCGATTTAGTTTGCTGAATTAAAAAAATATTCGTTTTTTTTCCCCAAATATACAACTCGGTTAAAATTATTATATTTGTTAATTGAATTTATATTATTAAAAACATTCGATTTAATATTTTATGTTTGTTTTTCTGTCGTGATTATTTTATGGAAAATTTTCATTACATTTAATTTGTTTTTTTTTGCTTTTGCGATGTGGAAACTAAAATTATTTTATTGTATATGT